AAGACGGCCCTGCAGTAGGGACAGGGAAAAAGTGCGTGCAGCAGAGACAAACATGATTCTGGAGTACAATAAACTGATTGCTGAGAAGAAGTGTAACACATTGTATTAACAGTAAGAAAACCTGAAAAAAATTATGGTTTATTTGCAAAATAGTTTAATCATTAATTATACCCTTACTTGGAAAGTGAGGTGCTAAAAACCTCTCTGTGGTCAAAGAAGATTAGCCTATTTTGATTTTGGCCCCTGCCTCCTGCAAAGTTGTACAGGTCTGCTTTACGAACTAGAATGATTTCTGCAAAATACATGAACATAAAAATGTGTATACTAAAATTTTGTAGTGATATGGTTCCGAGCAAATGTTAAAGAAAATTAACTTTTCTATAGAAGGAAATCAAAATGTAAATCTTGAGGCTCATTTCATGTCAGTCAAAAATAAAACTCTGTCAGCATGATCACCTTTTAAATGTATTACATTATAGTTATAATAACGACAATGTAAATAACTAGTTTCAAATCCCTTGAATTAAATCAGCAGTCCAATTTTTGTGACCTACTTGTTCAACTTCCAGTTTTAACCACCATGTTTTAAAATGAATTACTAAAATGATAAATATAACAAACCATTAAAAGAAAACAGAAAAACAAGCGTTATATAGAGGCTAGTATTACACTTACTGGCAAGGCTCAACTATATACATTTTGGAGAGAAAGGAGGGATAGAACAGAAATTGAATTATCTATAATACTGATGGATATGGCAATTCTAAATCCTACTGGATCCAAGGGAACTAATCTGTTATGTTCCTGTTCTCCTGTTCTTGTAACGTGATCTCCACAATACCTTTCACCTTGGGGATATCTTGCTGGAGCATACAAGGGATTTTTTTTTGGCCAATGGCATTTTGCTGCAGTTAAGTGTATGTTTTTTTTTCCATTAGTTAATGTAAGTGCAATATAATGTAGTAACATCTGTGCAGACTGATAAGGCACTGAGTACTTTGTACCAAAAAAGAAAAATATTAGTATCAGTAAGTTACCATATTCAATCTGTGGTCAAAGGCTGAACAGAAATACTTAGTGGACCATTGAGTTTAAATAAGCAGTAGTTAATGCTAGATACCAGGCTATGCAGACATGGCTGTTTGTTTAGTAGTCTTGTGTCTTCTTGTATCTGACTACTGAGATGTACATTTATGATAAAAGCTCTATAAATCTGAAATTGTAATGATGTGCAAAAAAGAAACATCTTTTCTCAAACAATTAATTTATGAATATAATATAAATTGAATTAAAGTAGAAGATAAAGGTCCCGGTTCTCCAATGTTCAAAACAGGCACATTTATTAGGAACACATTGATTCCAGCAATGTTTCAAACCAAGTGGGTCTTTGTCAAGCTAACACACACTATCATTAGTGAACAATTTATAGGCAAAACAATCATTATTCAGTGAATGAATTAACCAATAAAAATAAGGTATATAGTGAGTAACCATCTGCATCATATGTGCCTGGAAAAGGCATCCAAAGAGGTAATTATCACAACACAAGCTACAATTAATTAAAAAAAAATAACAACAAAATATTTAAGTCAACTGTTTTGGGTTTGTGCTAGCCCGTGGTCAGGGAGCACACATTGAATTGAATGAGTGCAGTTCCTTCTCTTCTTTATTGTTATACAATATACATTAAGGCCTGTTTAGCATGGGTATATGCACGTCAGATTAATATGATTTATAATGACTAAGTACAAAAGATCAGTGACTAAACTAGAAGGAAGAAAAATAGCCACAAATATAAAATAATAAATAGTCATAAAACTAGCTATTTCTGTATTTGCATTCTCATTGTCTGACTCAAAGCCATTAGTGCACTTTCATGGATGTTAAATTGACAGCTAATTAATGTTACCCAATAATAGGAAATAACACTGCTAGTAAACATTGTGCCCTACTGTGTTTTGTTTTATCATAGGTTGCTAATATTAAAAAGGAAACAAATATTTCTTGGTACAAAGATGAGATGGAGATAATGGTGGACGAGAAGCATGACTTTAAGGATGGTGTAGTCACTTTACTTATTACAGAGGTAAGTTACCAGGGTCAGTATCCTCCGAAGAATTAATGCAGCTGCATATATGTTATATAGGTAAACCTTCTCGATCATTTGTTCTATATGTTCGATATTTGTCTCAATCACTTATCTCCTAGCAGTTTAGCAGGACAGAGCAGAAAAACCTGTTCCTCCAATAACACTAACCTCCGACCACTTCTTCATTGCTGAATTACAATAGTAGTGAGGAAACAAGACATAGTGTGACATCACATCCAAGCAATTTTATTTACTGAGGCAGCAGTTACACCCACTGTGAGCCCTGTTACAAAACTCCTCATTTCTTGCTTCAAATGTGCCTCATCATTTCTAGATTGTAATCTTACTCAAACAAGAAGATGTTTTCTACACAGTACTGATACTAGTCAGGGCTCAAAATTACCACCAGTCCACGAGCCGTTGGCAAGTGGAAATTAAGCTCTAGCAAGTGGAAATTCAACTCTGGTAAATTTGTCAAAAACTACTGTCTTTGGGGATCATCTGTGTTTTTTAAAAGCAGCCACTTAATAAAGGTAGAGATACATGACTGATGTCTCAAGGCATCTAGCGTGGCATTAAACAAGTTCTATAAAGATTGTAAAAATCTGCTGGTCAGCCACTATAATCCACCCAAATCAGCTACCTAAAATTAAGAATGAACAGCCTGTCTACCTCCCAAACATGGTATCTAATTTATAAAGGATCATAAATAAGTTCCTCTCTATTACCTATAAATGTAGGTGCCCACAGACAAGTCCAAAAATAATACCATAGCAATAATAACAAAAATTGCTACTGTAACTTTACGTTCATTAACTTTTAACTCAAAAGTAATATAGTTGGAGAAAGTTTGCATTGGCGAGTAACTTTGAAATACCTGCAGTACTTGCTTTTACAACACTTGCAGGATACAATGGCTATTTTAACAGTAAGAAAAACAATAATACAAATGTAAGATTTATGTTTTGTTTTGTATCATCCAAGGGAAAAAATGAAGTGGGTGAGCACAGTAAAAGCTCTAACTATAAGTTTTGTATGTGTACTTCCATATAAACCTGACCCAAAAACCTCCAAGGATCTCAATATTATCACTGCAGATTTTCTTTATCAGCAAACCAGTTATGGTGCTACGGTAAATTTAAACCAGAAGAGGATAAGTGCACAATTCAAGTTATCAATTATTGTCTCGAGCAGTGAGAATACAAGGGGAATATTGTGTGCTTTGGTTGCATGGCTAGTTGCACTAATTGTGACATATTTACCTTGTGTTCAGATTACTAGGAAAGATGCTGGTGTTTACGAGGTGATATTGAAGGATGACAGAGGAAAAGATAAGAGTATACTTAAGCTTGTGGATTCAGGTGAGACTTGTTTTCTTAACCTATACTTGTTAACCAAGAAAGTTCATTTTCTCGCATGTGTTCAGATCTCCCTTTAGCACAACTCATTGTTCTATCCTTGCAGTCTATTCTTTCACACACCAAAACCGCAGCGTGTTAAGAATTAGGAATGACCTTACTTTGCTGTCCCTCTATGAAAGTGCACAGTGAATCAAATTACATACAGCTATGTATGCCTGGTGCTTTCCACCGTGATGCTATTATTTCACTTCACATTGTACCTCAGTCCATAGCAGTTGGTGTCCATGTGACAATCATATGACCAGATTTGTAGGATTCCTGTAATGCAACTGATATCTGCTCTCACGTTATGCTGTGTTAGTTAATAGAATATAAGATTCATTTTTTTTTTTAAAAGCAGCACAGCTACCAGAGGTACTGCAACAACTCAGTTGCAAGGTCCACCTCGACACGTACTACCTTTTCAATTGTTAATAAATATGTGCCCAAGTACGCATCTTGCCTACTTGGCAAGAATAAAATACCCTTATGCATATTTAAATCAGAATATAAACGCTCCCCAGTTACGGCACTGATATTTGGAGCAAAATGTAATCAAATATGGATACACCAAAATGGCAGAAACAACACAGAGAAATGACAATTTATATGGTCACTTGCTGGGTTGAAACCTCACTGTCCTCAAAATAAATTTTCCTTTTAATCTAGCGGATAGGTAACTGGATGCCACTCATTACTGTTATATAGTGAAAGAAAATGAAAAAATATATATATTTTATTTAAAAAAAACCTGTTTGCTGTTGGCCTGTGGATTATTTGAAGGAATTTAGGTAATAGTGCTTTTCAATCCTAAGGGACAAAAAAGTTCTGTATAACTGGTTTCTTTTTGTATATGTAATAGAATGGTTCATATACTTTGTACTGTGAATACGCTAAAACAACATAGGCCTGGTTTTAGCACAATTCTTACTTAGAAGGTATTCAGTTCTATGTATTGGCATTTATTTAGCAGTTTAGCATTGAACTGGACTGCTCTCTTTATCTACTAATATTATTTACAAGTAGATGCTAAAATATTAATCTACTTTTTTCTATGTGTGTGCAAGGACATAAATGAGACTATAGTTATTTGCACATATGATACAAAAAGTCTTCATTTGCTACATTTTATCACTATAATGTATAAAATGCAAGTGATATCAACCATAGACATTTAATTAGAAATACTGTCTAATAATGAATAATGTAACACGGTCATCATATATCTATTTATTTACAGCATTTGATGAACTAATGACTGCGGTGTGTAGAGTGATTGGTAAGTATTTTGTGACAGCTTCTTTGGATATTTTTAAATATTATTTTTATGCTGTCTATGATTTTTAAATGCATTGTGTTTATACATCTTTTTATTATTATATAATAATTAAACACTAATATATTGAAGCAATCCATACTGACAGTAAAGGATATTGCAAAATGTAAGAGTACACTCCTATAACCATATTCACTACAGTCCAATGTAGTGGTTATTGTGCTGGGAATTGTGCCTAGAGATGGAACATTTTCTGAAATTTTGAAGCCATGGAAAAAAAATGTTTGTTTTTCTTCTTTTCTTATTTTTTCTTTATTTTCCCCCCAAAAAATGAAAAAATGAAAGGTGGAACACTTTTACAAACCTAAAGTAATTTTGTTACATTTGGAACAACTCTTCTTTAAAAATATTTTTGTTACAAATTGAAATACATGGTCCTGATATATTAAGGACAAGTGGACTATAAGGAACCTCTTATGTCAGTACATGAGATTGTAAGCTCATGGGCTATCTAGCTAAGTACTTTTTTTCCAATGGCTAGTTATCAGCTTACGGGCAGGGCTCTCTCGACCTCTTGTATTTGTCTGTGTATATTGTACGTTCTCCACTAATTGTGCAGCGCTGCAGAATCTGTTGGCGCTTTATACATTTTATAAACCAGTAATAAATAAATAAAATGAGAACATGTATCCACCCCAAAAACCAAAGAAACCACAATGTCCATATCTAATATAGAGACACTCCAGAACCCTAAACTACTTGCTTGCTGAAGTGCTTTAGGGGTGTTTAGGAGTACCCAATAATCCTGCTATATAAAAGTGCTTATTTC